CCTGAGCACTCAAAGAACCTGAGCTGTTAATTAATCAGAGAAATACCCCTAAGCCAGGATAATGATGGAAAAACAAAGGAGCGGGGCCATTTTTCCTCTCTTGGATTGGCCTGCTCCCAGTTCTTGGGAGGGTGCTATCTTTTACTACCTTTTTACTTGACTAATAAAAATATTGCTTATATCATGCTTTCTGTCTCTCCTTAAAAATTCGTTTTTTTCGGGTGACTAAGAACCGAGGTAATTTGTTTTCCTCCTCCTGGTAACAACTTCATCTACAATGTATAACAAAACAATATTTCGTTACATATTTCCTCCCCTTTATGTCTTCTTCAAAGGTGGAACATTGTCGTGTATATATGGATTTAAAAATTACATTAAGTACAACTCTAGCCCAAGGTAATTAATATTTCATTTCAGGATTTTTGTTATAAAGAGATCTGGAATCTGATAGGCTGAGAACAATTTGGGTAGAATCACGATGCTTGTTGCTAAGACAGAACACAAGGAAGCTTCATTATTACTTATTGTTAATATTTTTAAAAGTTAGCATTGTTACATAGAGCGCTTTTCGGCACGAGAGCAAATCGCCTCCGGGCGGGGAACGTTTCTGCCCCCGTCAGAGGCCCTCCTAGGCAATCTAGGTTGAGACCCCGGCCGGAACCTTGGCGCCGTGACGCTGGTTTCCGGCGGGCTCCTTAGAGCGCTGAACATCTTCGGGCCGTAGGACCATGAGAGGGCCGGAGCCCGGTCCCGAACCTACGATGGAGGGGGACGTGCTGGATACGCTAGAGGCGCTGGGGTAAGTAGTCCTGGGGCCGCCTTTCCCCAGAAAACGTAAGCGCTCCCTCTGCTTGGCTGCTGCAGTCTCCTCCCCGTGGACCTCCTCTGGGCTCCGGCCGCCGTTTGCAGGCCTCCTTCCCTGTCTCGCTGCTTCCGGCGCTGACGGAGTTAAGGGGGAGGCGGGAGAGAAATCCGTTTTTGGGGGTGGAGCAGGGCCGGGGAGCTGGGGCGCGTGGCCCCCTCTTCCAGACTCCTTGCCTCGAAGCTCTGCAGCGGGAACCCGCGGCGAAGGCGCCGAGCGGCCTGGCTGGCAGCACTCCTTTGGGGGAGCATGTCCGTGCCCCGCGGGTGGTTTTTTTGTTGACGTAGTTATCGCGCCCGTGAGGGGAGGCGCTGAAAGTCAGAGTACAGCTGCCGACTGTTATCGCCTACCTTGTACAACCTGTGGCTAATTAGGACTTGGCGCGAATCCCCTGCTTCCTTGACCCGAGAAAGGGTTTTAGTTCAGTTTGAGTGCGTTCGTTCAGCCGTTTTTTCCCATTCGTTACAGCATACTAACTTTGTATTAATCTGTATTCATTAATGCATATTTATGAACTAGGCAGAGAAAGAAGACAGTTTTTGGATTACTAGTAGTTGGCATAGTCGTGGGGACTACAAAGAGTTTACTTGTGTTTACAATTTAGAGTGGGAAGTGGTATGAGAACTCCTGGAATGATGTTAATACTTCCAGGCATGGGGCTCAGAACATGAAACATAGGCTCTCCCTCAGCCTTATCCTGTTTGTCTTCACAGCCCTTGGCCCTATCCCGAATTACCTTGCCGTGCACATTTATTTATTGTCTCCCTTCCCAAGCCCCCTAATACACAACTCAACTCCAGGAGAACAGGTGCTTTACTTGTCTTGCACTCAGCAGCATCCTACAACCAGGTCTGGTACAATAAATAGTGGTTGAATGAATGGGTAAGTGAATGTAGAAAAGTTCAAAGCAGAGAGTGCATAGAGGTATGCATAGGGCCAGATAGTTGAGAGTCAAAGAAATACACGTTAATTAAAGAGATTGGAGCCATCTGCACAATTGTTTGCCCTGCCACATGCTGGGGTTTCTTGACTAGGATAGGCTGTGCATTTGCGGTGTTGTCCTGAAGCCTGAACCACCCCTCCCCCACCTCATTTTCTTAAAACTGCGCTTGCTTCCCTATCAACTGCTTCTTTTGGAGCCTTATAATACCTACTTTGCAGTGACTCATTGACACAGAGCCTTGTACTTAGTAGATCCCGAATAAATGTTTGTCAGCTGAAGGAGCAGAGCCAGTGACTAGCATTTTTACTTCTGTGAAGTCCCTTGGAAATTTTCACTTACTTCGTTAAGTAAGTAACCAAAACCAAAAGTTAAAATACTTGAAGTGTTTAGGCCCCAGTATGAGCCCCCAAGTATCCAGATAAGACTAGTGGGATTCTGTAATAGTTGAAAATGGAAAGAAAATGCTTTTTTTTTAAAACCCTTCCTTCATTCCTTGAATTTGTCTATATTATAGGTGTTTTGAAAAATGAAGTTTGCTATGATCTTTTTTCAAGGAAAATTAGTTTCAGACTATTCAATGCAGATAGTAAAACAGTTTACACACTTTAGAATTGATTTTTCCTGGAATAATTGAGGAAAAAATTTTAAAGTTTGAATTTTCCTATAATGGTAATGAAATGTGAAAAAAAGAGTAGTTTGTGTACAATATATGTTGTAATTAAACATTGGTTTAAGATAACCCATGTTGATTGTGAATGATGTATTTTCTATTGAGATTAAAACATTTAGGATATCAGTGAAGGTAGTTTGTCAGATAAAGTAGGAAATTAAAGGGGGAAAGTAAGAGGGAAAATCTAGTGAAAGAACAGTTTAGTAAAATAGTACATTGTAAATGAAAACAGAGTGGGAGTAACTTAGTTTCCTCATCTGTGAAATGAACAAGCTGGAACAGATGATTTCAGAAGTCTCTTTCAGTTCTGACAGTCTATGATTTTGTAGAACGGTGTATCTCAGTCCTTCTTGTGTATCAAAATAATGTATGGAGCTTGTAAAAAAAGTTCTTTTTCGGTCTGGTATATACTACAAATTGAGTGAATCATGATCTTCAGGGGTGTTTTTAAGAAGCTTCACAGTCTAGGTTGAGAACCGTCATTATGGAAGGAACTTTATTTCAAATATTTATTGAGAACAACACTGTTCTGAGAAGTCAGTGGTGAGCAAAACAGACTTGGTTCCTGCACCAGAAGAGCTTACAGTCTGGTGGAGAAGCAGACATGATCACACAAGTACCTACCTATAAACTAAAATAAGTGCTTTAAAGGAAGAGAACAGGGTGACATAACATGACAGGAGGACTTATGTAGTCTTAGGGGTTAGCGACAGATTGCTGAGGAAGTGACATTTGAGTTGAAATAGGATGGGTGAATAGGAGTTAACTAGATGAGGTTGGATGGGCAAGGAAAGGAGGACAAAGGTGTCCTTACAGTGAGAACAAAACATAAAAGACCTTGAAGTAGAAAGGAGCCTGATGTAGCTGGAGGGAAGAGAGCAGGGGCCAGTGTTAGAAGATTGGATTGGAGAGTTAGGTGAGGAACAGGGCATACAGCACCTTTTAGGCCATGTTGTGGATTTTGTTGTTTGTTGTGATAGCAGTGTGACATGATTGAATAATTTTAAATTAAAAAGGGGGAATGATTAGATGTCTAGTGTGAAAAGTTACCTCTGTCAGCAAGACGGAGAATTTTGTAAGTAATGGAGGCAAGAAGTGATGGTTGTTGGCCCTGGTTATGAAAAGAAGTCCATTACTGGTCTTATTGATTGGATATTAGAACTGAAGGAGATGACAGTATCAAGGGTTCATTTCTTCAGTAGATATTTATTGAGCACCAAAATGAAAAGATACATGTTTGAATCTAAATTAGACAGGTGGGAAAGTGAGGACAGCAGGGAGCTAGTAAATACAGAGAATGTCATGGGAACAATAGAATGGAGTAGAGATAATATCAAAGAAGAGTTGTAGGTGAGAGATCAAAAGAGCCAGCTGGAAGGATAGAGAGCAGGTTGTGGTCAGGGAGTGATGTGTTCAAATGAGTGGTTTTGGAAGTGGATTTAGTTCCAGGTGATGGCAAGGTCTGGGTGTGGCTTACTGTGTACTGGCAGAGCTTGGAAAAGAGGAGGTTAAGGAATTGAGTACTCAGAGTATTGGATAGCATATACATCTGGACTTTGAAGAAACTCAGTATAATTGAAAAAATAGAAATGGAGAGGAAAACTGGGCACAGGAAATGTTGAGTGTCCAAGACATTAATAGAAGAAAACCACAAGAGAGGGTGGCACATCCGCCTGGAGAGAGCAGGAGATATTTATAAGATAATGGGGGAGCAATAATATGGATGCTATATTAGGAAGCAAGGAGTACGAAACCCCCACCATCTGACCTTCGGGTGCTTGAGAGAGTACAGCACCCAAAGCTGGAGGTGGTGGAGATAGATTTTTCTGAGAAGACATTGACAATATGGGAGAGTTGTTGTTTACGGATGGAACGTAGTGGAAGAATTTGGGAAGCAGGAAGAAGTGGCAAGCTGGCAAGCCTGTGGGGTGGGTAAATGACAGAGGGGAAAGAAAGGATCTCATATTTTATATGTTGGTTGATGAAAATAGAAAACAAAGTAAATTAGACCTTGGCTCTGTCTTTGAGAAGGTTTGCTAGTGGCTCTACTGGACTGAAGATTTGGATTACTGAGCTTGAAGCAGTATCAGACCAGTAGCTATGGTTTGTGCCAGTGTATTTGGCTCTTGAGGAGTCTAGGCCTAGGGGAGGTGTCCCAATGTTTGGAATATGACTAGCACTTTCTTAATTAAATAAGAATTTATAGAACAAACTAACAGCATAATAATAATGCCTTTCTTACAGGACATTGTGACAGTTAAATGAGCTAATATACATATAGCACATAGTACTGGCCAGCATAAAATCAGTTCATAAATGTTAATTGTTATTATGATTATTAACTTTTGTTGTTGTTATTTGTGGGTTTTTTGTGGGGAGGGGAGGGAATTTGGTTTATTTATTTATTATGGAGGTGCTGGGGATTGAACCCAGGACCTTGTGCATGCTAAGCACACACACAACCACTGAGCTGTACCCTCCCACAGTTGTTATTACGATTGTTGATATTCAGTTTTGTTAAATGCATTTATTTTTTTTCTTTTTTCCTGATTTGATGAGCTGAAGCATTAAGCATTACATATTCAGGATCAGTCTTTTCAGTGATTTAGTAAATTTTTGTTGAATTTTATAATTGGCATTTCAGTGATAATAACTTATCACCAATGGTATGAATAAGCTAAATTTTTTCAAGAGTTTATGATATTGCTTTATTGTAGAAATGAAAGCAAGTAGGAGGAAATAAGATGTTTACTGTAAAATCTCAGTGAGGGGCATTGTAGGACATAGAGGAAGGGTAATACAGGGGAACTAGTCTTGGCTGGGGGAGCAGAGACATGGTCTGGTCCCAGCTCCCTTCATCTGGCTGCATCACATGGCCAGGTTATTTGCTTTGTTTCCTTAATTAGTGTAGACAGAAGTTTAAGAGTTCACGTGGAACATTTGGGGTCAAATCTGGATTTAAATCAGAGTCTTCAATTATTTGTCTTTTGATGTTATCTTCTGGTCCTACAGAATTAGAAAATTAGGATAATACTAACTTCAAAGCATTGCTGTAAAGATTAGAGGAATTATTTACACACACATGCCTAGCCTGGTTCCTGGTCTGCTACTTAAGGCAGGTATCCTAACCCTCTTAAGCCTTAATTTCTCACCTGCAAATGGGGATTTGAAAATACTTACCCTTCATGAGATACAAACAAATAATTTAGAGAAAATGCAAATGGTCTTTAAACATATGAAAAGATGTACAGTCTTGCCATAGGAGAAATGAACTATACTGAGATACCAGATGGTCAAATGCTTGACAGCTTTTTGAATTATGGGAGAGTGGATACTCTTCTACGTTTAATGGTACAACCTCTGTAGAGGAAAATTGAATCTAGCAATGTTACATATCCATTTACCCTTTGATTCAGCAATTCCGTATGTAGGAATCTATCCCATATACACACTGACAAAAATTTGCCAAATCTTTTGTAATAGCAAAAAACTAAAATGTCCTTCAGTGGAGGCATAGTAAATAAAATATAGTGCATCCAGACAGTGGAGTAGTATACAACTATAAAAATGATTGAATAGTATCTCTAAGGATCTCCAGTGTATGTAAATACGTGTGTGTGTGTGTGTGTGTGTGTGTGTTTATAGCTGGGAATAGAACAGTATATGGTAGGCTGCGTTTTATTTTGAAAAGATATATATATATATGTTTATGTTTACATTTAAAAACATTTTAGGATGACAACCCCAAACTAATAAATATAGTTTCCTATGAGGAAGGGAGGGAACAATAGTGGGGCCAATATTAAGATTGCAAGCCAGATTTGTCTGATTGTACCTTGTTTTGTAAATTAGATTTTGAAATCATATGAATGTTTTACATAATTATAAAGCAAAATTAAATAAAAATGAAATCAAAACAAAAAAGAGACACATCCCTAAAAATTGAAAGCAAAAAAACATGTTTATATTGAGTAGGAGGTTTAATCACATGAAAAGGAATTGTTTTTCTATACATCCTTACTGAAATATATTCTAAAGATAGAAATTATTTTCAATACAATAATTTTATTAGTAATAATGCTGATTTTTCTATTCTGAAACTATGTAATTTATGTTTATTTTTATATTCACTAGGGTTATGTAAATGTCATAAACCAGAATTTTCACTGTAAGAGAAAATAGATAAAAATGTAAAGCAAAATAAGTGAAAACCCTACAATTCTAAATTTAAATTGGGAATAGCAACGTGAACTTCTGATATAACTTCTCTTAAAAAGGTACAGTTATAGGGACTAACCTTTAGTACCAGATTGTGTGCTCTAAATACCATGAAAACGAATCAGGGCTTCTTGGAGAAGTGGCTGATTACAATTATAGGGCAGTAGCATATTGTCATAGAAAGCAAGGAAAATATTCGAAGAATACTGGGTACAAGTCAAAGGACTCATTGACAAACATGAATGGGCTTCCACTAATCAGAGATAGGACAATTTGAGTATCAAAAGAAAAATAAGTACAATGGATTAAAAGCCGTCAAATATGCTGAAGTTTATAGTGTGAAAAAAACTCGCAGAAAACAATAAAAGTAGAAAACTGGTATCAAATTCAATTAAGATAATATATAAAAATGCTTTGAAAATTTAAGGTTCTATTCAAATACTTTGTAGCAGTGTTTAAAAGTATAAAATTATAAAAGAAATGGTTAATGTTAAGATAATCTCATAGGTCCTTTTTAGCTTTCATTTTTTAAACTTAAAATTTGCATCTGTTTTCACTATATTTCTTTTTTCTTGTTCTTGTAACTAGTATAGTTATTAAACTCTGCTGCATGTGACTTTGTGTTATATGTAATATTTATCTTAAAATTGGTTGATAATTTTACTAAAAAATTTTAAAACAGAAAAAACAGTGAAATGTTAATTATATAGAGCAGAAATTAGCAAACTATTTCTATAACAGACCAGATAGTAAAAATTTTAGGCTTTACTGACTATATTGTGTCACAGATATGTGAAAGCAGCTAGAGATATTCTGTAAATGGATGTATTAGCTGAATTTCCATAAAACTTTATTTACAAAAACAGGCAACAGACCTTGACTAAAAAGTATTAGGTGTATTAGGGTTTTGTTTGTTTATTTTAACCTTTTATGTCTTCTTTTCTAGGTATAAGGGGCCACTGTTAGAAGAGCAAGCCCTTACCAAGGCAGCAGAGGATGGACTGTCTTCACCTGAATTTTCAGAGCTCTGTGTTTGGTTAGGCTCTCAAATAAAATCTTTGTGCAGCTTGGAAGAAAGTATCACTTCAGCTGGTATTGCCATTGAGTTTTATTTACTTTTCTGAACGAAATGATAGGTTATGATTTACAGTTTTATCTATAATGTGTGCGCTGTACAAAGAAAAACCATTAATATGAGTAACTTCAACATATGATTTAAATATCTGGATTAAATTTTATATTGATTAATCCAAAGTTGGCTCTTAAATTGTGCAAAATTATAAATTGCTGTTTATCTGCTGTGTTGAACTTAGTATTGTGTTTCAGAAAAAGTAGAGTCTGAATTTGGTTATTTAAAAAGTTTAATTTTTAAATATTGCTTATTTTGAATTAAAGTTTTTTTTTGAAGTACATTTAATCCCAAATTTAGATTGTATTACCAAACCTGTAACTCAGGACATGGATTCACATAGGAATTCTTTTATTAAAAAAACTCCACTAACTCACAAGGTTTTTTTTAATTCGTTACTGTCTTGGTAGCTGGAGTCCTTGTGAATCTTTGATTGGTAGAATTTCAGACATATAACAAAATGAAAAATAAAAGTATATTGGGCATTTGCTAGGAGACAAAGTAGCCTTCCCTTCTGAAGCTGTCCTTACTTTTAAATTGTTTTTTTCCCTTACCAAATATAATAGCATTCTCTTGAAGCAAAGTATAATAAGCTGAACTCAGAACATACACAAGTTCCCATGTAATTAGATTATGAAAGAGAGATAAGCACTGGGGCTTAATTAGATGATTGCATTTATTATCTGAATCCATAGAACTATAGAAATTGATAATTTGCTCTGAAATCAATTAATAATTGTAGCCTTAATAGTGCTTTTTAACATTTCAGTTACTAACATAAACTATTTCCAGTTCATCTGTTTTCATGGAAAGCTCATTGGAAGATACTTATCAGAGATTTACATATAAAAATATTTATAATCTCATGATTAAATACTAATGTTCTTGAATTTAAGTTTCACTTTCTATATGTAGAAATATGTTTGGTTACCCTTACTTAAACTTTGGGGTCACAATTGTGAGGATTTAATGTCAAAGTGAAAATTTAGAGTTGGATGTGAAAGTAAAATCAACTGGTGGTAGATTTGATAGTATCAGATTATATAGTAAATATTCAGTAAATGTTTTATGCTTTTTCTTTTTCAAAGGGAGAGATGATCTAGAAAGCTTCCAGCTTGAGATAAGTGGCTTTTTAAAAGAAATGGCATGTCCATATTCTGTACTTATATCAGGAGATATTAAAGACCGTTTAAAAAAGAAGGATGACTGTTTGAAACTTCTATGTAAGTTAATGTTTCTTTGAACACTTAAATGCATGTGTTTGATGTGGTTTTTGGTATTTTCAGTCAGAATGTATGAATTTTAATTAATGAAGCATTAGACATTTTGTGTATTAGAAAGGTTTTAATATTTGGCTTAAAATATAAAACTGACTCAGATATTTATTATAATGTAGTATAAATTCTACTAATGTACTCTCTTAAGATTTCAAACACTTGTGATTTATTTGGTCAATATAGAATGCCCTGTGATTGTGATTTATATAGTACTTTAGTAATTTTTCCTTCACCTAATTATTCTCTTTACATTTATGACTAGTTAGCTAAAGTTGGTGATCTTCAGAGTCCTATTTAATCTTAAAACTCTCTCAAACTAGGCTGCTAAGCAGATTATTAGATGATAGGCACTGAATGATTGTTGGTTAAAAAATACTTATTGATCACCTACTACTGTATAAGAAACTGCTCTATGTATTAAAGATACATCAGTTAAAAAAAAAATTGTGCCTTTGGGCCACTTGAATACTAGTGAGTGTGACCTATTATCAGTGGTGAATTTGGAATACAGATTACGCAGTCTCTAAACTATTACCATAAATAGCAGATCCATTTATTTGTATTGGGGCCCTTAAATTTCTTAAAATTCAGTTAGTTTAACTTCATACTGTTTTGAAAGTTCTACAAACAGTGACTATTTGAAAGAATTTTTCTAACATCTGTTGAAGATTTCTATTAGTTTAGGTTGTACCATTTATACATATGATATATTCCTTCTGTGCTCTAGTGTTAGTAATGTTAATTTTATTAGAGCAGAAATTGTGTGTATGTGTTTATGGTGATAGAAGTGTTGATGTTTGAATTACCTTGTGTGTTTTGGGAGAATAAAAATTATGTGTCCTTTTCCCCATTTCTTAATATATTTCTCATGTTCCTCCAGTTCAGTGTGAGTCATTGATTTAATAATCCATTGTTATTAATAGAAGGTCACAGTAACCTTTTAGTGGATTGGGACAAAAAGGAAGCTAAGAAGCCATGAGGAACTTGCATACTCTTTATGTCAGTCAGTGAGGACTGTGCGAATCATCCGTTTCCCTTTTTGCCTTAGCTCCTAAGAATCTCAGCAATAGTGGTAATATAAGTTTCTGGTCCCAGTAAAAGTAAAGAGATATAAGAGAAATTGGTATACTTTTTTCTAATTATGAAAATACATGCTCAGTAGGCAGGGTGAAGTGGAGAATTAGTGTTAAATGGGTACTGAGTTTCAGTTGGGGAAGATGAAAAAGTTCTGGAGATGGGTAGTGGTGATGGTCATACAACCATGTGAATGCACTTAATGCCACCTTACACTTAAGAATAGTTAGAATGGTAAATTTTCTGTTACATGTTGAAAAATTACATGTTTATTATAGAAATCTTACAAAGTAGATAAAATTGTGAAGAAGAAAATCATTTAAAATTTCACTCCCCAGAGAAGACCGTGAATAACTTTGGATGTATTTCCTTTTCCTTCTCTTTTTTCTTTGTACACACACTTTTGAATAAGATTGAGGTCTGTTACAGATGCATTTGCTGCTCTTCCGTCTCTTCATCTAATGTACTGTGAGAATTTCCTCATCACTTAGTATTTTTTTGGAAAAAGTAATTTAAATTGTCTACATAATGTTCTATGCTATGGACATTTTTAATAGATTTCAAATTTGGGTGTACTTAGATTTTTCTATTTTAAATTAATTTCTCTGTTCATATTTTTGTTACTTTTACTTAGACAAAGATTATTAACATTTAAAAAAAATCTCTGGTCTACATATGTATTGCCATATTTGCTCCAGAGAGGTTATACCAATTCACAGTCTTAACCAGCATGTATTTCATCTTTATCTTCATGATATAATAACATTCCTCATGTTCTTCTTGGAAGTGTTTGCAACATTTATAAAATAAAAAGGGCCAAATTCCTTACTGTGTGGAGAGCTTTTATAAAGATAAAAACTCACTGGAAAAATGTGTAAAGTACATAAGGCATGAGCAGGCATTCTACAGAAAAAAGTTTTTAAAAAATTGCTTGTAACATGAAAAGATGCACAGTATCCTGCAAAGTTAAAGAGTCACAAGAAGAAAATGACAGGATACCATTTTTCACTTACCAGGCTGGCAAATACCAGGAATAAAAAGTCAACACGGGTTTGAGGGAGTAAGCATTCTCATATACCACAGGCAATGGAATGGGGTAGGAGAATAATTGGTACAACCTTTTGGAAGGGAAAATTTTCAGTAACACAATTAAAATTCACCTGTCTTTTGACTTGGAGTTCAGAGACTACAAATACATACTAAATGTACAAAAATAAAAGAATGTTCATTATGGCATTGTTTGTAGTAGTTAAATAAAAGTGGTGCATCTTTGCAGTGGTATCGCACTATATAGCCATTAGAATGAAAATAGATGAAATGTGTAAATATGGAATGATCTCTAAGGTATACTGGTTAATAAAAAGTATACAGAACATGTATAGTATGCTCTTGTTTGTATATAAGAAATAAAAGTGTTTAGATGGTAGATACATATACTAAATATACATATATGCCTAAAAAGATGTTCAAGAAACTAACGATAGTTGCCTCTGGAAAGGGAGAATCTGAGAATCAGTGGGGAGAAGACTTCTCACTGCATTATTTACTATCTGCATGGATTAACATTTTAAATACTAAACTGAACTCCTGTTTGTACTGTTACATAGAGCACATTTCCAAAGAACACAGGTTCTGTCTAGAATATGAATTTTTGAAGAACTGGCGATCTGTTTTAATGAAGTTTTAAAACCATAGGGACTTTGGCATAGTCCGCATAAGCAAAGTTTGATACATATTGGTCTTAATTTTTTTGTGGGCTCTGTAGACTACCATGTGTAGATTGCATGGAAGAATCTTAATTTATTGGCTCTCAGTCCTGCCTGCTTGTGAGAGTCACGTTGAGTCTAAAACCACACAGATGCCCAGATCCTACTTCAGATCTGCTGGTTCAGAATCTCTGAGGGTCGGGTATTGGCATTTGTACTTCTAAACAGTTTGTTAGATGTTTCTTCTGCTCAGCTGAAGTTGAAACTGTTGTATTAAAGTGTGTGTATATGTGTAAACAAATAAAAACAAACGCCCAATATTTTAACTGTCTTGTGAAATTTAAAACAAGACTGTAATGATTTAAATTTTGCTTAATGATTTGCTTTCCAAATGATATCTTTTACTGTTTTTTTTTTTGATTGACGTATAGTTCACATAAAGTATTATGTTAGGTTCAGGTGTACCACATAGTGATTTGACATTTGCATACATTATGAAATGGTCACCACGATAAGTCTAGTAACCATATGTCTTCATACAGAGTTACTACAATACTGTTGACCATATTCTTTATGCTGTCTGTTACATCCCTGTGGCTTACTTATGTTCTAACTGGAGGTTTGTACCTCTCAATCCCCTTCACCTATTTTACCCCCACCCACACACCTCTCCTCTCTGGCAACACCCATTTGTTCTCTGTGTATAGAGTTTGTTTCCATTTTGTTTTGTTTGGTTTTTTTTTTTCCATCTAAGATTTTTGAAAAATGTGGCTGGTAAAAGGATGAAGTAAAATGGTGACAGTGAAAGGACTTGTGAACAGCCTGGGGTGGTCTATCTTAAAAGCTAACAGCTTTTCAAATTGCTCTATCTGCATATAGATCAGTTAAAGCTCTACATTCTCTCCTGACTTGAGTTGTGCAAATTAGGGAGAGAATATTTTTTCAATCTTACACATTCTTAAACAATTCTTTAAATTTTTGATTTAATGATGGGTCTCTCCTGTAAACTCTTTGCAGGTAAGCACTTTTTCTTTTTAAATTTCCTTCTGCCCTCTTTATTACTGTTTTTGTGATAAGAATATTTAATATAAGATCTACCGTCCTAAAATTGTTTAAGTATGCAGTACAATATTGTTAACTATAGGCACTGTGCTGTGAAGTAGGTCTCTAGGACTTACTTATCTTGTATAACTGACTTTGCTTATGAGGACTATGCCAAGTCCCTCTGATTTCAAAACTTTATTAAACAGATCTTCAGTTCTGTGGAAATTTATATTTAATAACTCACTGTTTCCTTCTCCCCCAGCTTGGCAATCACCATTTTACTCTTTACTTTAGGAGTTTGAGATTCCTCATAAAGTGATACCATTAATATTTGTCTTTCTGTTTCTGTCATTATTTCATTTTGCACAGTGTCCTCCAAGTTCATCTGTATTGTCACAAATGGCTGGATTTCTTTATTTTTTAAAAGCTGAATGATATTCCACTGTATACATATACCACATTTTCTTTATTCATTCATCTGTTAAAGGACACTTAGGTTGTTTCCATATCTTATTTCCGTGTCTTGACTATTGTGAACAATACAGCAGTGAATATGGTAGTGCAGATCTCATTGAGATCCTGATTTCAGCTCCTTTGGATATATACCCAGAGGTGGGATTTTTAAGGAGCTCTTGTGTATTTTAACATTATTTGTTTTTCTCTTTTTTTATTATAGTATTTTTAAGTACAGAGCTTCAAGCTTTACAGATATTACAGAACAAGAAATGTAAAAATTCTCAACTAGATAAAAATAGTGAAATTTATCAGGAAGTTCAAGCTATCTGTGATACCCTTGGTGTTCCTAAGTCAGCAACTTCTGACATTCCGCTTATGCTAAACCAAGTGGAATCAAAGGTATTGTATTTATTTTATTTTTCATTTTCCCAAAATTCAACTAAATGCTAATGTGTAAATGTATTAAAAATGAAAATACAGTTGATCCTTAAATAATGTGGGGGTTAGGGGCACCAACCCTCTGCAAAGTCATTAATCCACATTCAACTTCATAGTTGGCCCTCTGCATTCATGGTTCACATCTGTGCATGTAACCAGCTATGGATCAGGTAGTACTGTACTTTTATTTAGTGAAAAAAATTCACATATAAGTGGAGCAGCACAATTTAAACCTGTGTTGTTTAAGGGTCAACTGTATTTCCTTTTAGGTGTACATGCTATTTCATGAGAAGCTTATCTTCATGTAAACTAAATTTTGGATTTGGAGTTAATATGCATGTAACCTAATTTGTCTGTAGCTAATATTTAGGAATCAGATCTTAATGAGTACGTGCTAGGCTTTGTGAAAGTTTGCCTTAATAGAAACCACTGCAGATTTAAGGGTCCCTTGTGTAAACAAGGTTATAATACAATATAATGAAAGAAATAGTTTTCCTACAAAATCAAAGGCAAACTAAATTTATTTTTCATGGACATTGTTAGAATTGCAGTGTGGTTGTCTGTGGTAGTGAACAAAAGAAATCCATAATTTCTGTTAGGTAAGTGTTTAGTAAATGTTTGTTGTATAGTGAATAAATGAATGAGTGTGCTGATGGAGTAGTTAAAAACAACTACAAACTCTGTACCCCTAGCTTTTTGAATTTTGTGTTTTCAGTTATTAAACTACCCTTTCTCTCAGTCGAGCCATAAATTAGAATGCTACTCTTGCAGACCAAATTCTGACTTAGTTCCTAGATTTTGTAGGAATCCTTGAGGGGAGTAATACAGGATGCATTTTAAAGGAAAAGAAATTCTCACCCTCAAGAATAGGTACTAAAATTGTTTTTAGACATTTAGATAATGCTGTTTAAAAAATTTTGTGTGTGTGTTTGGGGGGAGGTAATTAGGTTTGTTTATTTATTAATTACTTATTTTTTAATTTAACGGAGGTACCAGGGATTAAACCCAAGACCTCGTGCATGCTAACCATATGCTCTACCCACTGAGCTATATCCTTCTCCCCTAGATATGCTGTTTTAAACTAAATCCTTGAATAAAGTACTCGTTTTGCATTGATAATTTATAAAATGAAAAAAGAAAAAGACTTATCTTAATGTAAGAGAATTTTTAGTATCATTAAGATGAAAGTACAATATTAAAAACTTTAAAAACTGTTTTTAGAACTTGCAAACCAAAGAATAAGCCTGTGAACCCTAGCTCAAGAACATTGTTCTGGAGTTATTAATTACTCTTCAGGATTTGTTTCTCTGAATTAAGAATGATCTGGGGTTGGCTAAAATATCTGGGACTATTTCAGATTGAGACTTGTTTCTGGACTTTCCTAATCTCCCAGTGCTTCCACATATTGATCTCAAAGAGGCTTTTCCTTTTTATGGGTTTCAGTTAGTAATAAAAATATTCCAAAACCTCTTTTTTCTACTTAAAGCAGGCTGTAATTTCTATGTTCATATGCTGGCAGGCTAATTATAAGGGTAGCTACTGTGGCCATCCTGGCTAAATATTCACCCGAAAGGACTTCATTTTCCCTCTAGTCCCTAGCAAAAGCTAAAATTTCCATATTTTCTTTCTTTTTCGTGTGATGTGTCCAGAGGATACTTTGTTGCCATTAGGGAGGAAATGTATCATTAGTTTTTAACTTGAAGCTGTTTAAATGTGAATTTAAAGTAATTGTAGTAATATTAACTTCTAACATAGCATTTACTGTGCTAAATGTTTATATGTAATAACTCATTGAATTTTCACATCATCTATAATGAAGTTGATACTATTATTATTTACAATAACCATTTGAGGAAATTGAAGTACTGAAAGATTTAATAAATTAGACAACAAACTTCTCAGTAGTAGTGGTCGATCTGAGGGTTGAACCCAGGCTGTCAACCTCCAGAGTCTGCTCTTAACTCTCTCTATCACAGGTAATTCTCCAATTTAGTAAAACTGTGTTCTAATGTTGAAATACTGGGAAGGTGATTACATGTAAGAAGCTACAAACATGCATTCAGAATCCTTCTTGAGTAAGAGTTGGACTAAAACTTTTAGAAGTATGTGAAATAACAGTCAGAACTGAAGGTATTTACAATAGTGGGGAATCTACAGAAACAATATGTTTTAAGAAAATAAGTTAATGATTCTGTATGGTATGTATGAATTGTGTTAGTCAGCACTGTTGAAGTGGTAGATTCACTGTGAAGCTAATAAAGCTTAAGCTTTGGGAGCTCACATGTGCACAAGTTCTTTCTAAGCTTATTTTTCAAAAACATCTTTTCTCAAGATAATATTTTTGTCCCATGAAATTCACCCATTTTCAGTGTACAAGTCATTGAATTTTAGTATTCTTAGAGTACAACCATCATCAAAATCTAATTTTAGAATATTTCTATCACTCTCAAAAGAAACCTTGTGTCCATTGACAGTCACTTTCCATTACTGCCACCAGCTTCCAAGCCAATTTGTGTGCATAATTTTTAATTCTTTTTAAAAGAGGTTCCCCAACATTAAGCTTTATACTCCTCAAAATTTAAACTGTTCCTGATTATTTTCTCTAGATACGTTATAACTAAGTAACTGTAAATACTTCATTCTGTTTAAATGACCTCTGATATTGCTAAAGCAAATGCCTACACTTTGTTTACTAAAATAAAAATGTTTTGAATGATTCAGATCAGTGGCTTTGCAAAAGTAATGAAATGCTTCATGTGGTGACTAATTGAGAGGGCTTGCTCTCCAGTGTTGTCTTGCTGAACAATGCAATGTGTGCAAAATATTTATTTGAGAAAAACCAATGTACTCAGCAAAGGTTTTAGTATCACTTTTGAGTATCCCAGGGTATGAGAGTGCCATCTGAATAAGAAACTCCAAAGTCATTTCACATAAAACATATAGATTCTTTTTATTTAATTTATTTTATTTTATTGTTAGTCAGTTTACAGTGTTGTGTCAATTTCCAGTGTAGAGCACAATTTTTCAGTCATACATGAACATACATATATTCATTGTCACATTCTTTTTCGCCATGAGCTACCACAAGATCTTGCATATATTTCTTATTTATCTATTCTATATATACCTGTCAGTATCTACAAATTTTGAACTCCCAGTCTGTCTCTTCCCACCTCCCCGCCCCCAGCAACCACAAGTTTGTATTCTATGTCTGTGACTCTATTTCTGTTTTATATATAAGTTCATTTGTTTTCTTTTTTTTTTTTAATTCCACATATGAGTGATACCATATGGTATTTTTCTTTCTTTTTCTGGCTTAGTTCACTTAGAATGACTTTG